GTTGATACTACAACAACTTTGTCTATCCCACTATTCCAAGCATGCTTATCCAAAACCTCTTTCATGATAATTAATGTCATTAAATGCAAAAGATTCTTTTAAGGAGAGGATGAAACGTTAGTAAGAATATATAATAAAATATTAAAGATAAATTAATGAGATGACAAATGATATGTAGAAAACAATACATATTAGATGATGAATACACATAGGACTTATGCAAGACAATGCTCATCAGATGATGCATGCATATGTTTTAGTATGTCATATATTTCATGTTGAGATGCTATTTGATGAATTTATAATGTTCCTCAACCAAAGCTTTTGTAAAAGTATCAACCCATTGATGATTTGTGTCTATAAAATTTATTTTAAAAATTCTTTTTTGTACATAATCATAAATAAAGTAATATTTTATGGAAATATATTTTGCCTTAGAGTGTTGTATGGTATTTTTCAAAAGATTGATAACACTTGTATCATCATAAAAGACAAGTATATTATGGTCAAAGCATTAATAGTCATCTAGTTGATACTTACCCATAGTAGTATAAACAACTAGCGACAAATATGTATTTTTCTTTTGTATTTGAGAGGGTTATATAGTTTTACTTCTTGCTTTCTTAGCTATGAGATAAGACAGGGACCCAAAAAGTGACATTCACCACTTATGTTTTTTTTTTCAACTTTATCTCCAACATAATCTGAATCACAAAATCCTATTAATATAAAATCTTGACATATCTTATAGAAAAGACTTAGATTAATGGTTCTAATAAGATATCTAAATATGTGCTTAACTACTTTAAGATGCAACTCTTTTGGATCATATTAACAGTGTGCACATAGACATATATTATGCATGATGTCAAGTCTATCTTTAAGATATAAAATTGAACATATTATACCTTTGTAGATCATTTGATCTACATGTTTACCTAATTTGTCTTTTCATAGTCTTGCAAATAAATGCATTGGTGTTGGCATAAGCTTGCAATCATTAATCTTAAACTTCAATAAAAGCTCTTTTGTATACTTTGGTTAATGAACGAAGATGTCTTTGTTTTTCTATTCGATTTATAGTCCTAAAAATAACTTTAACTTTTCCATTATGATCATCTAAAACTCTATTTATAGTAGCTTAAAAAAATATTTACACAAAGATTCATTGAAATGCTCCAACAGGTAGTGAACTTTTTGACCATGTTGATTGGTATGATTAAAATAAATTGCATTTGTCATATAGGAATGAGATGTCCATGGGAGAGGTTCACACCAAAATGTAGTAGGGGCATAACAATTCGGAAGATGTTGGTTAGCTTGTATGTGTGGATGCTTGAACATAGGTGGATCCCCTAACGCCAAGGTCTCTAGATAACTTCATCTAGGCACCACCATAAACTTTTAGAAGAAGAAATAGGAAGATGGTAAAAGAATAAATTGAAAAATAAGAAGAAAAACAAGTGTCACTTATTTTGTAAAGTTCAATCATGAAAGTGTGGGAAGGGAGTAAGAGGAACGAAAGCATAATTTTATAGGAAGCCAATAGCTATATTAACACTATTACTAGAATCTACCATTAAAGTACTATAAGAAAGTTATAGAGAAGATAAACACTAACACTAATATTTTTCATCGATACTTCTAAGGGACTAAGGAAATACACATTTATAACCTAGTAACTACTAAGGATGATCCTACAAGTGTCATCATTTTATTTTATGGAATTAAAATGGGAAAACATAATTTTATTGGAAGCTAATAGCTATATTATCACTATTACTAGAATCTACTGTTAAAGTATTATAAGAAAGTTATAGAGAAGATAAATACTAATATTGATATTTTTCATTGATACTTCTAAGGGACTAAGGAAATACACATTTATAATCTAATAACTACTAAGAATAAATCTACAAGTGTCATCTTCGTATTTTAAGGAATTAAAATGAAATTAACATTAAAACAATAACAATAATAAGAATTTAACTTCATCCTATAAAACCTTTTAATCACTTGATTTTATTTCTTTTATGTCTGTCTAGGCCCATTCTATTACACTATGTATAATATGTGTATGTAGAGAAAGATTCACTAAGAGCAACTCCAACGGGAGTTTCTTAGCTCATCAAGCAACTCTAACATGAGTTTCTTACCATTGGAGAAGGCTGAGTTGGCAGCAAGAGTTTCTTGCAGAGGAGAGAGGATTGCTTCACCAAGCAACGGTTGCTTACTTTTTTAAAATGAAGGAGGCGCAGCAGAGAACGACGGAGGACGGCGGAGGCGCGGTTGGACAGCGGCGGAGTCCGGGTGGACAGCGGAGGCACGCCAGTGGACAGCGGAGGTGGACAGCGGAGGCGCGTCGGTGGACAGCGGAGGTGAACGTTCTACCGTGGGTGGCCAGCGAAAGCGCGCTGGTAGACATCGGAGGCGCGCCGGTGAACGTTGTGGATGGACCAGTGCAGTGGCGGCGGTGTGGCTGGACCAGCGCAGTGGCGGCGGTGACGGTGGTAGACGGTGTAGAACGTGCATTTTGGAAGAAAAGGAAAGGGGAGAGAAAAAAAGAAAACCCTTTACGAAGAGAAGAAGAAGAGGAAAGGGGAGAGAAAAAAAAAAGAAAATCCTTTAAGAAATAAGAATTAAAAATTAAAAATATTAAAATATTAAAATATAAAAAATAAAAAAATTTTAAAAAAATAAATAAATAAAAAAGTACCTTGAAAGTTCCGTTGAAGACTTGAAGTATATTAAAATATATTGAAAGCTTTATTTTTTTTTTAATATCTATTTATTATATTTTTTTCATAATTTATTTTTTTTATTGTAGTGCAATTGTCCTTTTTAATAAAAATTTTAATTTGGTTCATAAATGATTTGAAAAAAAATTCTGAAAACTGAATTTTTTAAAATTTCTTACCATTGGGGTGAATTTCTGTTTGAGTTGCTTAATGCTGACATGGCATACTGGGGACCACTTTTTTCAGTTTCCAATGCATGAAACAACTCAAATGAGTTACTTCCATTGGAGATGCCCTAATCGATTTTAGTAATTAATGATAGACGTGGTATAAATAAAAAAGAATATTCATTGTTTACACTTGTGTGCATGACTTGGACGCTAACGATCAAAATTCTCACGTAGTAACATAACTTGATCATCTCGTGAAACTGGACTCCAATAAAGAGAACAATTATGAAATATATACATATTATCTCAAACTCCTAAAAATAATAAAATTGTCTTGCTGCGTGACAGAGCCCTTCTCTTTTTTCCTTTTTGTTTTCTCATGTATGAGAAAATAAAAATGGGTCTCATTCCACTCCAGTATTGTTTCCTCTAAATAACCTTGGAGCAAAATCAAACCTATTAGTTGTAAAGTCTGTTAAAATACTAATGATTAGGCTGCTTTAATTTGTAGATTAACTTTTAGTTACTAATTTTAAAATATTATATAAAACATATTCATAGATAAAAATAAAAAAAAAATAAAAAAATAAAAAAGCGCGGAGCAAAGTTCTAATCAGAGTATTTTATGCTGGTCCTGAAGAGACAGGTTTTGGGTCTTTGCTCTGCATAGGGCTAAACGAATTAGATTGAGTTAAGTTTAGATAAATTCAATTTAATTAAAATTTAATAGATTGAGTTAAGTCTGATTTGTGAATTTTTTTTAAAAAAAAATCTAATTTAACTCAATCTAATCACGAATTATTGAGTTAATAAAATTATATTTATTTATTTATTTTATAAAAATTTAAATATTTTAATGTAAATGTAAATTATTTGATATATTATTGTAAATTTAATGTTATTAATCTATAAAGTAAATAATGATATAATTAAATTTTAAAATAAATTTATTAATTTATTATATTATTATCAATTCAAAAAATCAACATTAATTAATACAAAATAAAATTTAAAAAATATATTATATTGTTACAATGGCGTCAAACTAAAAATATAAAAATTGTTATTAAATAAGAATGATGGTGAGTATTGTCTTGAGAAAATGATGGTTCAAACACTATTATTATTATTATTATTATTATTATTATTATATATATATATATATTTGGTTAAGTTGGGTCGGTAACGGGTTAAAAACACAAAATTCGTTACTTGACCTATACAGTATCGAGAACGGGTTGGGTCTGACCCAAATACTGAAAAATCTTATCAAAACTCATTGGGTTATTTTGATTCTTTCAAAAACATAATTTTCATTCGAATAAAATTTTGATTATTTAAATAAAAGTTTAGAATTTTATTTATTTATTCTAAATGTTTATTTTATTCACTTAATTTAAATTTATTATTTTAATTAAATTTTAATGTAAAAATATTACTTTAAACTTATTTACTTACTTTTAATTAGTGATTTAATTTATTTTAAAATATCATTTACTTAGTAATATATATTTTTATTTAAATGGTTAAAAAATAATTTTAAAAATATTTTTTACTGTATTATTTATTTATTTTTAATATACTTTATTTCTCGCCTATTTTTTTTTATCTTACTAAACATACATAATATTATTTCTCACCTATTTCTCTTTAAATAAATAATCAAATTTTTACTCTAATTTATTTTTACTTACCTTTTTTTTCTTATTCATTTTTTTACTCTATTTCTCATCCATTCCTTTCTTTTCTAATTATCAAACTAGTTAAAGATCTCAAAACTTGATCCACTTCCAAGTCCATTTCTATTAGCACAAGCCAATCCCGTCAACGTTTAACCTTATACACATCAAAACCTGTCCCAGTCCACCTCATAAAGATGAGAAGAATAATCTCATTCATAAAATAAATTCACAGATCAAATTATTTATAAAAAGATCAAGACAGAGAATTGTCAAATAAAGTGACATGACGAAAAGCAATATAACCGTGTCACTGCACGGTCCACTCTATTATTTAGTGCGTGAACAGCCTGTGGATATGAATCACGTTGGAATATTGCTACATATTTTATATTTAGCAACTGTAATGATTAATTAAGAAGCACATACAAATACAATAACATTCAGAAAAAACTCAGTTACTTGAGGATAATAACTAGTTGCTCTGCTTCCATGGCTTGCAACATTGTACGAGGTTTCTCTTTACTCATTTTCTTAATCACTCTTGGCACTTTCTCATCTTTTCTACCAATTACCACGGCCCAAGGATTCAAAATAGAAGAAGCAACAGTTTATGATCTCCAATTTGCTTTCCAAAGAAACCAATTAACCTCAAGGCAATTGGTTGAGTTCTACCACAAACAAATACAAACCCAAAACCCAGTTCTTAAAGGGGTGTTGGAGTTGAACCCAGATGCACTATCACAAGCTGACAAAGCTGATCAAGAGAGAAAGGCTAAGGCACCAGGGTCTCTTTCACCGTTGCATGGAATACCCATTTTGCTTAAGGATAACATTGCTACCAAAGACAAGCTGAACACCACTGCAGGCTCTTTTGCACTTTTAGGTTCTGTGGTGCCTAGAGATGCAGGTGTAGTTACCAGGTTAAGAAAATCTGGGGCTATCATTTTAGGGAAGGCCACCCTTAGTGAGTGGTCTTATTACAGGTCGAATGCAGCCCCTAGTGGTTGGAGTGCCAGAGGAGGACATGGAAAGGTGATTCATTTACTTGATTTTTCTTACTTTAATCTCACTTGTTCTTGCTTCTCAACTCTTAATCTGTCTGTTTATTTCTACTTGTAGCATATATATATCCCAATTGTTGATAATTTGCAAAGTCGATCTAATGTAATCTAATATGTTTAGGTTTCAAATGTTGAGTCAATATAGATTTGCATGTACAAGTATGATGTGACATAGATGCTAGATAATTATATTTCTTAAACATGTGATGAGGGATTCGATCATCAGGTTTGTTTGTATGAAAAATCATTCAATGGGAGAAGTCAGTTCCTTAATGAATTCGTACAGAGAAATTAGTCTCTAGGCACCGAAAGATTTACAGTAACTCACCTACTCTGATAAACCAACTATGTTAGACGCTATTAGTTGCTTAGTAGCTACATGACTGAAAGGTTATGGGAAATAGCTAAAAAGTGCATGAAAACAATATTTTGCTGTGAAGGATTTTAAAAGGGGTTATTAACATGTGATTTGTGTTCTGCAGAATCCATATAATTTGGGTAATCCCTGCGGATCTAGTAGTGGACCAGCAATATCAGTGGCAGCAAATTTGGTGGCAGTGTCTCTTGGTAGTGAGACTGATGGGTCCATTTTATGCCCTTCAGGTTCTAACTCAGTAGTGGGCATTAAACCAACAGTTGGTCTCACTAGTAGAGCAGGGGTTGTTCCGATCAGCCCAAGACAAGACACAATTGGGTAAGTAAGTCTATGGTAAAGGCACCATTTGCCCTTATCAGAGGTTATGCATCAATAAAGTAAAATAATTTCATATAGTCATTCAATTACAAATTATCATTTGATAAGTTTGTTGACTTTTTTACAAATTTATCTTAATAGTCATATCAATAATAATTTTTTATTTGTGGACAGTGGAAAAACTTTTATCATGACAATACATGACTTATCAGAACAGTTTTCAAAGTACATTTTGTTGCATAAAATATAAACGTGCAACATCTTGTGGGCTGGTATAGGCCAATTTGCAGGACTGTATCAGATGCTGCTCTCGTTCTTGAAACCATCGCAGGCATCGACATCAATGATAAGGCAACAATCAAAGCATCAAATTATGTCCCAAAAGGTGGCTATGCTCAATTTCTAAAGAAAGATGGACTGAGAGGAAAGAGATTAGGAGTCGTGAGAGATTTTTACGGTTTTGAAAAGGGTACTTTACAACATGAAACTTTCGAGCTGCACTTCAAAACATTAAGGTAATGAAAATTACTATTTGTTTCAAGTGTTAATTACTGATGGCTTTATTTATTCAGTCTCATATATACTTCCTTCAAACTCAGGCAAAAAGGAGCAGTTGTGCTTGACAATTTGAAGATAGAAAACCTTGATGAAATCCTTAATGATCAAAGTGAATCGTTTGCAATGGGATTTGAATTCAAATTATCCTTGAACAGCTACCTCAGAGACTTAGTTGCTTCCCCAGTGAGAAGCTTAGATGATGTGATAGCCTTCAACAAAAAACACTCAAAATTGGTGAGTATAAATCTTTTTGAATAAATTTCTGTACAAACATTTATAAGAGAAGAAATAAAAAAGAAAAATTGAAATTATCTTTTTCGTAACTTAAATTTAACTTATACAGGAGTTAAAAACATATTTTGAAAATTTTAATATGAGAATAATTTATACGCATTAACTTATTTATAAGTTAATTTTAGTTTTTGAATTATTTTTTTTTTCTTTTCCTGTAAGTGTCTACAAAAACTAAATAGACTGTGTGAAAAAGTTACTTCACATTTAGCTCAAGTAGCAACTTAACAGTGGAGAGGAAATTGCAGGAGAAACTTGAGGAGTATGGTCAAGATCTCATGTTGATTGCCCAGAAGTTAAAAGGAATTGGGACACTGAAGGAAGCAGTATTAAACATGTCAAGATTGTCACACATTGGATTTGAGAAATTAATGATAACAAATAAACTTGATGCTGTGGTAGCACCTTTTTCATTCTTTGGTTCTATACTTGCCATTGGAGGTTATCCTGGAGTAAGTGTTCCAGCAGGATATGAGAAGGGTGCACCATTTGGGATTATCTTTGGAGGTTTGAAAGGCTCAGAACCAAAGCTGATCGAAATCGCTTACTCCTTTGAGCAAGCAACTATGATCAGGAAGCCCCCACCAGTCCGAAAGTCAAAGGTTTAGACTCATTACAATAGTGCTTTACTGTTAAAAAGATGGTCAGAATTTTGATGGAATACCCAAGTGTTTGTTTAATGATGACTAGACTAGCAGTAAATAAGTATGTCACATCCTTCTATCAAAAATTTCTGACAAAAACTATCGCAATGGGATAAGCAATCAATAAGTTCATTGCAGTTTTGAACTTGTATTATGCTTTCACAATGAAAAAAATCCAAATTCTGAAGAACCGTAAAGGATCGGTTTAATAAGAAAAATGGTTATTTTACACACAATATACAATGACGTGGTGAAGAAAAGAAAGTAAAAAAAGATAGAGGTGTTGGAATTGAAGTGTAAAATGAGTCTCGTATGGATTATCGATTAAAAATTATTATATTGAGTATATATAAACATAATATTTTAAAATTTTAAGTTATGTTATGATATCCTGTTCATATGTGTGATTTAATCATTATCTCATTATGTGAATGTTTTTTTATTCTTAAACCCTAAACTTTCAATCCAATAAAAAGGATATTGAGTGAGTGTAAAAGTTAAACTATGAGAAAATGTTAGTTTTAAACATTGAAATTAAATTGTTTAACTTAAAGTTGAAATGCATGATAATTTAATATATATATATA